TTCTAAATGAATATTCATCATCTCTCTTTTCTATAAAAATAGTCATTTACCTGTGATTTTAGTTCATGTGGAAATATAATTTACTAGTCATCTTTTTATTTACGCCTCCTGCTAGGAACTGAATGCTCGTTTGTCATCCAAAACGTTTTAGTTGACATTTTATAGCTAGTGTTCTTTTAGTGTGTCCCGGAATTCATCATTTACGGTTCGATGCTCTCTTGCTGAAAGTTTTTGTTTTAATCTCAGACCACTTCCGGAAACAGAGTATGCTACCCAGAAAATTATTTTCTACAAAGGAGGAACAATTACCTCGCTTCACTTCCTATTTGAACACCTTGCACTCATCACAAAGGACATATGTGAGGTTTAAATGTAGTAAGGGTTTTAAACAAGTAACATATTCCATTACTGGCTCAAATTTCATGCCGCTCTTTCAATCCTTTTCTTTGATCAGCCGCACATCTAACTCTTCCTATTTCTACAATCTGAGTACTGTTTCACATTGAAATGTATTTTATTTTATGCTTTACAACTAGGCTTATGCTACTTTTAAACAAGTAACATATTTCATTACTGGCTCAAATTTCATGCTGCTCTTTCAATCCTTTTCTTTGATCAGCCGCACATCTAACTCTTCCTATTTCTACAATCTGAGTAGTGTTTCACATTGAAATGTATTTTATTTTATGCTTTACAACTAGGCTTATGCTACTTTAGCATAAAATTCACAGATAACAAAAAATATGGAGTCGAAATGAAAACTAGAGCAGTAAGTTGTAACTTAATACAAACACTGGTCATCATTACAAGATGCCTAAAAAATTACATAGGATAAAATATTTTATAATTATAATTTTATAATTTCTGGATAATACTTCATTTTATAACGCTAAGTAACTGTAGTTGAAGTAAAATTATTATTATTTTCTAATGCTATCATACTATATGTATAATGATGTTATAACTCCGTAAAATAACAAATAACAGAAATTAACAGCTACATCAACAAAACATGTGAAACTCATTTCCTTGTAAAAACTAGAAGGGCACTCAGTAGAGCGCATGCCTCCGCCACACAGCGTTGATTATATTCGGCTCTCTAAAAATACAAAAAAAAATGTGTCCGTTGGTCCGTTGTTATCTACGAACACAGGCAGTTTGGGCAGGAAAATGAGGAATAATATTCTACATAGGTCCATTAAGTTTAATCAAAATCCGATCATTTTTGACTGAGTTATAGAGCAAAAATTGTGTGAAACATTGGTCCCCATGGTAACAGATAAGATATTTTTTGGATTTTCGTGACATTACCCTGTCCTTAACCTATGTTGACCATCCACAAGTCAATCACTTCTAAGTTGGATAATATTCCAAACGTATACCAACTTTTCAACAAATCTTGCTGACAAACACACACGCACACGGCGGCGAAAACATAACCTTCGGTGGCGGAAGTAATAAAACACATTTTTGGAAATGCTTTATATTTTAATAATTCTATCAAAAAAGACATAGTGAGATAAATGTGGTTTTTCTTATTGTCCCACAATAGCTCAACTACGAAAGTCAATGTAGTTAAAATTAATTATTTTAAAATTTAGATATTTTAGCAATAATATACAAGAACTTGAAACACTTAGTATCTACAATGCGCGAAATTCAAAACAAACAATTTTGTTGTAGAGGTATACGTTTCGTATATAGATAGAAAATAAATAATTTTACTTTTTAATTTTTTTATAGTAATGTAATTTAAGACATAAACACTCGTAACATTATATTTACGAAGTGCTTTAATTAAAATGACTTCTTTTAACCTGCGACTCATTTAAATTATATGAATATGAAAGGAAAAATACTCAAAATTACCAGGGCTTTCATAAATTATGGTTTTCGTTTAATCTTAGGAGCAACGGTGTTCATGTTTCTTGGAGAGATTTTATGATTACTTGGTAGTGTTTCACTGTATTATCTCAATTTAGAATAATATGTTCAAGATAATTACGACAAATGCTGGTATTTCAATACAAATAAAATGAAAAAACGTCCCTAGAACTCCTTACCGTAAAAAAAAATAAATAAGCAGCGACAGTTAAATTATTGTAGCTATTCCGGATGTTGGAAGTAATTAATTATAATACATGACATTATTTTATGACTAGTTGGTGTTATTATGCCAATAATAATAACAATTCCAATTATTTCTGAAATGAGGAAAATTATATTTATATAAATACACTGTAATGGAAATAATAATGGAAAAATACAAGCGATAGACATACTTGAGTCAAGAACAACGAGTAATGAGAAGTAGACAGTGAATTTATGAATGTACTCCACATTATCACAGAAAATATAAAGGAAATGTGAAAACTTTGTAAAATGCATTGGAACATTGTAGAAAACTCTTTTGCTGTCCTTACAGTTTATCAATGTGTCATTGTGGAAATTGTTTGAATGGTCAGGGATACTTCATACAATCAGTCAAAATATTCGGTCTCCTTTTGACCTTCTCATTTTTTCAAGAACATGTAAATTACAATAATTTTCTTATCGAAACCTTATGCAGGTTAAGCCATGGTTGTAAATGTTCTATCGGTGAATTTACCATCAAGATATCGTTCCACCAGCATGTTTCGCTGAACATTGTCTACGATACTATTCTCCAATTTGGCTGTCGAACAAACTGGTGCTGATTGATGTCTAACAATTCTAACTTAAACTCACCTGTAAAGGGCATACTTTTTATCGTTGGACATTCAGCTTAACCTCTTTTCGGCAGAGGTTTCTGAGCAATTCAAGTCCATTGAGACCACTTCGTGCCATTGTGTATCTTACAATTATAGAGGTAACGTTCACTCCTGTGCTTACAGTAAGGTCGTTGGTAAGATCTGTGTTTGACATCTACCTCATAAAGAACATACCCTGAGATACTTAACATCACTATAACTTTTTCAGAATTTTCTATACACTCCTACTGAAACCTGAAATTGTCAAAATATTTCTCATAGCATCATTGACAAGCCAACATTTTGAGTTATACGTTCTGGTCACGTGGTATTTCGGTCATGACTCTCATAAGTTAATTCATACTATCGTTTCTGGGCATTGTATGATTACCTGAACTTTTATTGGCTTTTTACTAGGTCATTACTTTACGATTTTTTTGGAAAAAAACGAATCACAGTGATTAGCACATGACTGACTCTGTTGTAATTTATTTTCACAAGATAAACGGATGCTCTTCCGTAGTATCTGCCTTTTAATACGTTCTTACTCACCATTTCAGTCATTATTTATAACGCTATGTGTATGTTTTTATATTGTTTTTTGTAATTTTGTGGCAGGCATAGCAAGTAATTAGCGTGAAATGCTGCGGATAGAGCGATCTGAGATTCGGAACGTTATACCACTGAATAAACTTTAAACTTTTGTTATAAAAGTGACAAAGTCTTTGTGGAGGCGGATATTGCTGGCTAGTTGACCTTCTTATGGATATTAATTAAAAGTAAGGAATATTTCTGAACCTTAGTGGGTTATGATTTGGTCCTTAAGCCAACATGTGAATAACGTTCCATTCAGGATGAAATTTTCAATTATAATTTCATTTAAAATTCAGATCGATATTTTTTATATTAAATATACTAACTATAATACAGCATCATCGTTTAGTTTTTAAATTGCATTGTCCGCAATGAAATGTCTTTAGTGGGTATATCTCCTAGTCTAACGAGGTTTTGTAACCGATCACTTTAAGTTCTTCTTTTAAGTGAAAAATTATTATTATGTTATAGTGTTTTACCAGATGCATTGCTGAAAATAATAAATAAAATTACAATTAATAATTATTAGTCCTAATTATGAAAGACAAGAAACCACAAAAAAAGCCTCTAAAATCATTCTGCTCTATGTTATCAGTTGGATATCGTCTCTGTTAGAGGTGTTGTCTTTTGTTTGTTTGTTTTTAAGGACAAATCTGCAAAATAGGGTATATATGTGCTTTGCCCACCGCGGGTATAGAAAGCCCAATTTTAACATTGTAAGCTGTGAGACTTACCACTGAGCCACCGGGGGGCGCAGTGATATCTATTTGTTTGTTTGTTGGAAGTTAAGCACAAAGCTACACCATGGGCTATCTGTACTCTGCCTACCATATTTAACAGATAGTTATGCTCTCAAATTATAGCAAGTATTAAATAAAATAATTAGTTTGGCATTTATTTCAAAACTGCAATTTAATTATAAGGTTTACGTTCTAATTAAATATAAAATTATTGTTTTTATTGGGTTGGCAGTGCTCTAGAAGGTAAATTTATGGACCTTATCTTTGCAACGGATTCTCCCCAGGATCTAGTGGTAAGATTACGGACATACAACGCAAAAATTCGGTTATCTATTATTCGCAGTCGATGAAGTGCAGATGAGCTCATTATGTAGCTTTGCACAAAGAAATCAACAACAACAATCAAACAACGGTTTGTACTATATAACTTACAACATAAGTTGTTTGGATCGAATGTCTCAATTCAGATGCTTGATGAAGGCTAACACTAACTATAGACTAATACTTATGTTCGCATGATACGACATTGGCTGTAATTTAAAACATTATCTATTTTTCTTACTGGATAATAGCCACTTATTTTTAGACATTATTTAGTTGTTTCTTGGTCAATATATCTGTTTATTTTCAATGTCTTGAGCCGCATGACTGTTTATCTGTATGCCTGTTTATCCAAAGGCACCGAACAATCATAACTTTTCTACTCTTAGGTTTACTCAAAAAGTTTTATATTTGTACTTCATGAATAACTGGATCAATCAGTCCAGCATTGGCGCGTGGATAAAAATGTCAGACCCACATAGATGGCGCTGAGATACAAAATCGATTATTTGCGTTTCAGCCCCCGACGCTGGGCAAGCAGATCATTTCATACACCGCAGTAAAGCACTGTGTTTGACATGAGATGGTTGGTAGTGGGCACTCATTGAAAGAGAAAACTTATAACTTGCTTATCTTTACTCAAGTCAATCAATGCACGTACCCTCACTGCTTACAGAAGAAGGCTGATTTCTGACAGTATACAATACTACTTATACAGCTATGAACGTGGCCCAATTCAATGGTTCGAATATTACATCAGACTTCCACAGTTTGAAAAATAAACCAAATTTTCTCTTCTTTTAACATAAAGAGGAACAGCTAAGTACAGTAAACTGACGTCATTATTTGCTGTTTCATCCAGAGAAATGTCTGGAAAAAAGAATTTACATAAAAACAAACCTCGCATGTTGAAATTCTATTTGCTTTATTTCATCGAGGCTATCCTTGTCCAAAAGGCGCAAAATGCAGTAGTGGGTAAGTTTCATTTAATCATTACTGTTTTGTACATTATTGTTGTTCATTGTTCAATTATTATTATTTATATTTTTGAATTGTATTATCAGTGTTTGATGAAAGAGTATAATAAAATGGAATCTTAACGTTAACAGAAATCTCCACGAAATTTCTTCATGTACGTAGTACTTTAAAACTATTCCCAAGGCATGAGTGTGAAATAGATTTTAAAATGTGCTTTTAATGTTTTTCGTATTATTTATTAGTTTATGCTAATTGATCTATATTGATCTATACACAGCTAATGTTAAGTACCACGTAGATCGATTTCAATATTACAAAAATAAATAAAGTGACTGAGTCTACAATTTACAGAATTTCCATTACTAGATACTCTGCATAACAAAAAAGTACGTAGATATTAATGGAGTTATTTTTATAGCTGTATTTTTTTTCCTTTTTGGTGATAAAACACTGCGATTATGAATAGCGTGACTAAGTATATTCAATAAAGTTAATCAACTATGAAAAAAAATATTCCTCGAAGGCAGTTTTTAAAATTTAGTTTTAGTTTTCAAAGCTTATTCTAATTAGGGTGATTTATTTTATTGATACCATAAACTTACATATTTGTTAGGCATATATCTCCTTCTAGGTATTATAATGGTGGATACACACACTTTAAGTTTTATGATTTTGTACCGAGTAAAAACAATTTTTGGGTTTACAAAACTGACTGTGGCATAAATGAAATTATGAAAATGATATTTCATATTTCAATATAAATTATTCAATGTAAGATCGCAATAACAGGATAAAAAAAATGTACCTGAAATCAATTGCGAATTTCTGGTTTACATTTTATGAAATATATTTTTTGTTATATATCATCACATAACATATCATACCAATTCTGAATAATAATAATTTTCAAAATTAGCATACTTTCCTTGACTAACTAAAGCTATGTTGATATAGAATAGAAGTCTACTGTTTGTCTCATTGATAGTTTGATCTTAGTGTTCTGTCTCTTGGACACAAAAGTTCATGACAAAATCTATAGAGCATACATAGTGAAATTATACAAATAAATGTATTGTTAAAGGTAGAGCCGTCAAAATGAGCTTATGATTTCTATAGACTTACAGCTTATTGAAGCAATGTACCATACCTACTACAGGTTCGCAAGGGTTTTAGTCTGTTTGTAAAATAGATAAAAATAATAAATTGTTGTTCTTTGGCATCTATGCTATATGCAACATTATATATATGTTTGTATGTCTGTATACATATTTCTCAGTAAATACAAATATTAAGTTGTTGAAAATGAAGTTGTTCGATGATGTCTTTCTTGTTTTATAATGATATGTAAACCATACACCTAGGTAAAGAAATTGTGTGCTATGTAAACCATACACCTAGGTAAAGAAATTGTGTGCTATGTAAACCATACACCTAGGTAAAGAAATTGTGTGATATGTAAATCATACACCTAGGTAAAGAAATTGTGTGTTATGTAAATCATACACCTAGGTAAAGAAATTGTGTGCTATGTAAATCATACATCTAGGTAAAGAAATTGTGTGCTATGTAAATCATACACCTAGGTAAAGAAATTTTGTGCTATGTAAATCATACACCTAGGTAAAGAAATTGTGTGCTATGTAAATCATACACCTAGATAAAGACATTGTGTGCTATGTAAACTATACATCTAGGTAAATAAATTGTGTGGTATGTAAACCATACACCTAGGTAAATAAATTGTGTGATATGTAAACCATACACCTAGGTAAAGAAATTGTGTGCTATGTAAACCATACACCTAGGTAAAGAAATTGTGTGCTATGT